GGGTTTGAACTGCCAGCCTTCTGGTTAGCAGTCAAGTGCCTTAACCACTATGCTACCAGAGCTCCCTGCGGCACACATTATACATTGCTAAATGGTTGCCTAATCAGACCCATTCTGAGGGTAAGATCCTTGTTCTGAAGGAATATTCTTTTTCTGTTAGGGAGTCAAGTGAGGCAGAGTAATGTAGTAGAAAAAGCACCACCAGTCTGAAAGTTAGATTTGGCTTCCTGGACCCAGTCTGACATTTACTAGCTATGAACAAATTAAACTGACCTCTCTGATTAAGTGGGAGGGTTAGAGCATCTATGATTTCTAAGGTCTAAATGCCATATTTCTTTAGTGACTAATCCACGTAATCATGAGAAAGCAGTATAGCCATATAAGTGATAAAATAAAGAACAATCTTTGTCTGAGATCATTGTTCGTGTGATCAAAGACACTGTGGATTGTTTAAAACTACACTTGGAAGAAGCATGCCAAGAATACTTCTTAGAATGGAGGATGGCAAAACTCCATTTTATGTACTTTGGATATGTTATCAGGTGGGACCAGTCCCTGGAGAAGGACATCATGTTTGGTAAAGCTGAGGGTCAGCAAAAGAGAAGATGACCCTCAACAAGATGGATTGGCACAGTGGCTGCAACAACGGGCTCAAACATAGCAATGACTATGAGGATGGTCCAGGGCCAGGCATGGTTTCATTGTGTTGTACACAAGGTCTCTATGAGTTGGAAATGACTCCATGGCACCTAAAAACAACAAGAATTCACTGTAAATGTAAAGATTTCTGCAACAAGGTAATTAAATTAGCTTGGAGGCAGAAACCACACAGTACTTTGAACAAGGAAAGTTTAATATAAAGATTTATTAAACTATGATAGGAGACTAGCAATAAAGATGTACAGTGAACACTAAATCTTAGGACTGAGGGAGAATACCCTGGGAAAGACAAACTTGGAAGAGGAACATCCTTCCCAAGGCTAAGGTCCAGCGCTTATTGGAGGAGTGGTTGCAGCTTCACTGAGTTGCCTAGGCAAGCAGAAACAACCTTCCAGGATGCTCTTGGAATGACTCACGGAGAGAATCAGGACACCACTGCAGGTGTTAAGGCCTGTAGCTCCTGGTGTCTATATAGAGAGGGCCACTAGATGGTCGTCAGTGAGGTCTGGGTACAGTGGGGGCAAAGCAGCACTGTATGCCCCCCCCCACACACACACACACAAGCACTGCTTATGGGCCCTCAGCAGGGGTTATGAAAGCAAAAGGTAAACTGGAAGAGAAGCCCATTCTCTTGCAGTGTCCCTCCAGCGCCCTCTACTGACAAAAACATAACACTATGCTCACTGTAAAGGAGAAATAGAGTCCAGTCCTTTATCCTCTGGTAGTGTAGTGCCTAAGGCACTTGACTGCTAACCAG